TATCGAAAAAATATATACCTTAAGGGGGCTAATAATTTTGATCTTAAATGTTTTTAAAAAATTAAAAACTGCTTTTATTCTAGCCTCATAACATCCAGGGTAACATGTCTATATGTATTACAATATAAATAAATGTTTAAACACACATTTCTATATTTATTAAAAACCTATCCATCTAATTATTTCAATTAAATAGACAAGCTTTTTGATTTAAACTGTAAATGTAACAATTAAAACAGTTCCAGGACAACGAATTCATTAATAATCTGCAAAAAATTATAGCAGAAAATAAATAATTTAGAAAAAAACATTAGACACATTATCTAACACTAGTTTTCGCAGTATAAATGTATTTTGCAACTACAAATATGTAGTTTACATTTTGGGTTTGGATGTCCGTGACATATAAAAGACTGCAAAACCCTGACATACAGTACGGTTCGTGCCAGTTCATTAATATCAAGCAGTTAGCATGTGACAATTTTAATACGATAACACTCACTTACTGGTCAAAAATCCAGTTATTTTTCAGCCTATAAAGTGTACATTACTACCGGACTAACAAACTAACACACAATGCTCTTCCAGACTCCAATTTTAACATGGTAAAGGTGTAGTAAAGTGCTCAAGTTTATCAGTCACCTGCTTGATTTACGCTCCTCAGATTCCTGCATAACCTGCAACTGCCCGTCAAATCACCGACATGACAAACCAAAAGTAAACACTCCAGATAAAGTGCAATTCTGAAATGTTTACATAAAAGTAGTTGACCAAACAAACAAATAACCGAAAAGAGGAAAAGTTGGAGGCATTTCTGAAGGTTCGGTATTCATTCAAGCGAGGAGGAGTGTCCATGCGGCCAGACGAAAGCGTACGCGGTAGTAAAACATCACCTGATTGGCTAAACCACTGCCATAGTGTGTAGCGGTGAGCTCTGATTCGTCAAAGGAGTAGCGCACGTATTACGGAGACACTCTTGCGACAAAATGCGTTTTGAACCATTCATTTTGATTCAGAAAACTTGCACAAAGCCGTGATTTGGAAGTTGTCTAAACATGTTCAACAAGATGTGTTTATAAAAGTTTGGGCTTGTTAAACGTTTTCTTCACCATTTAGCTTATACATACTCGTACCTGTAGTAAACATATCGCAAGGCTTCAAGATTGTATTATTTTAGTTTAAATGGAAAAATATGAGTTCACAACAAAACACTGACGCAGAGTAGTATGAGTAAGATTAAAAATATATTTACAAGGTGCACACACAAAATAAATAGTGTTTAGTGATATTTTTGATACATTTTAAGCAAAATCATCACTAAAAATCAGCAGGTACATTTTTATGTGATTACACCATATACGACAAAACTTTTGCAGTTATTATGAGCTAAGTTAGCATGCAGGTTATAACCAATTGTAATAATTGCGCTAAATAGCTGCGAAAGGCTTTATTTTTAACAAAAGATGTAAAAATGATATAGTTAGACTTCATAACATTGTTAGGCTACAGAAATAAACTAATAAAAGGTGAAATCTGTTTGCTGCTTTAAAGATTTGTCTACAGCTATTGTGTCAGATTTAGCATCTTCGCTATGAACAACATACTTTTTTATCTCACACAATGTGTGCATGTAACTACGGAGTGTTTTTGTTGCTGCTGTTTTAAGTTGGAACTATTATTATTTCAACTATTACGATTTATTGACGAGAACAAATGATTGTGTACATTTTTATGTGATCACAACAAGCAGATCTTTTTTATACGACAAAACCTTTGCAGTTAACAAATATGAGCTAAGTTAGCATGTTACAAACTGTAATAAGTGTGCTAAATATAGCTGCCTTACCTTAATTTATATAGACATAAAAAATATTTATAGGCTACAGTGTGCTAAGGTAAACAATACTATCTGCAGCTTTGTTCAGTAGTGTGTCTACAGATATTTAGCATCTTTGCTAATGTATCTATGAAAACATACTTTTTTATCTCGCACAATTCGTGCATGTTGTACGAGCATGTTGCATGTCGAGTGTTTTTGTTGTTGTTTTATTTAGGTTTTTTAAAGTAATTATTACAACATGCCCACAGTTTAGTAGAGATCACTTGAAACAAATGAGTAAAACGTGCAGATATATTAGTAAATTGTGGGAATGAATGAGTCCACTTGTGGCCATAATATGCATATATTTTGTCTGCATTTCATGTTAGGGTCTCGTGTCGGTGAAAATTCCCTGAGACACAACAATATTGATTATGAATATTAACGTGCATATTTGCGTATAATAAATTTCACGCACGGTTATAAAAAAGGAAACAAAAAAGTGCTCAATGTTACTTCTTTGATACGTGATCCGATGCTTGTTTATAGAAATTAATCACTCGTGACGTCAACGCGAACTCGCTCTCTGATTGGCGCAGGCGAGTGGCTGCAGAGTGTTTACCATCTGAGCTCAGAAGTGGGACTGCACGTAGCTCGAACCACCGTCGGAGGAGGAAGTTCGTGGACGAAAATTGTGATTTATTCTTCCAAATTCACAACTGGGTTGATAAAAGCACTTGGGACAGCTGTAGAAACTTTATATGTCCTTCATCTGATTCACTGGAACAGGTCAGTTGCGTTTAAGGCGCTTTTTTTCGCGTTGTTTTGAACAAAGGAACGAGCCAAAGACGCTGTTCAGGCCTGTTGAGTTCATCTGTTTTCGACTTAATTGATCAGAAAACACTCAATTAAGCTTTCTTTTGCCTTTGTATTAAAGTTTTGCTCCTTTTTTCTTTTCAGCTCATGCTAAAACTTGACGATGAAAACCGAAGTCTCTACTGCTGCTAACTTTGTCGCGCGTCTGTTGAGAGGAACAGGATTGCTTTCAGAAGAGCAGCTGCAACAATTCAGGTTCTCTTTGGAAGAAGCTTTGGGAGGTAAGAATAGATTAAATATGATATTTTTGTTGTTTCTAACTCAATTTAACCGTTTATCCTCCAAATTATGTGTGTTATGTTTAATTGTAAAATTGATTATTGTTAAGAACAAAGCAGGCTTGGTTTATGGCAGCACCAAAGTCCATTGACTGAATGTTACACCTTCTTAATTACAATCTGCTTTAAGCACTAAAAACTTTGGCATAACCATTGTTCGTTCTTTTATTGTAGATCATTATCGCCACCACTGGTTCCCAAATGCACCATTCCGAGGTTCGGGCTACAGGTGCATCCGGATCAACCACAAGATGGACCCTTTGATAGGCAAAGCAGCCTGTACGATTGGACTCACAAAAGAGCGACTTTTTTCTCTGCTGCCAAGTGAACTCACCATGTGGGTCGACCCATATGAAGTGTCCTACCGGATTGGAGAGGATGGCTCCATATGCGTCCTCTACGAGTCCACACCTCTGTCAGACAAGAATCTGGGGGACAGCTGCAAAGGCGAACTGAGAAAGGAACAGCAGAGTCCATCCAAATCCTTCAGCATGATGACCTGCTCCAGCTGAAGAATAGTTGTCTGTTGAGCTGCTTGTGAGCGTAGTAAATCAGGCATCGCTCAATTACTTTTTAAACCTTTTTTTTCTCCAGATTTTTTTTTTTTTAAATCAATGGTGAAATATTATTGACCTCATAGTGAAAACAGATGTATTTTGATTAAATGTGTTTTAAGCTCCCTGTACAGTCATGTCGAATATGTTTTTTTAAATTTCTATTAAAAGGTTTTCTATGAATTTCTAGAAAAATGAAGTGTTTTGTGTGTTTTTTTTTCTCTCTCTTCTATGCTCAAAGTATATTTTACATATTTTAAATGTTTATTTCATGTTAAACAACTTTGTTACACACAACTACAACTTTAGAATGTTTCTAAAAATATTTACTTTTCTAAACTTACTTTATGGAATAACAACTTAACCAATGAATAAATTGATAAGAATAACATTTATGAAAGTGAATAACAAATACAATTTTATTTAACATATTGTTAGTTTTATAACATTTGTTAATTTGTTAATTTTATAACATTTATTAATTTGACGTTTATCAGTATGTATAATGTAAAATCCTAATTTTCTTCTATAAAGTCATCAAACATCTTCATAGTTGCCCTACACTTGCATCAGAAGTTGATGTCATGCATGTATAAATATATCTGCAAATTAGAAAGCTGATACTTATTTTAAAAAGTAACAGCGCGAAGTAGAATACATTTTAGTCTTTCATATTTCTTAATTTTATACTTAATTTTTATGTAGACATATGAAATATGAAGACATAAGTCCAAGACTCATTTAGTGCTATATATATATATATATATATATATATATATATATATATATTTATATATTTGGGTTCAACGCTAAGGATTTTTTCCACTGGCCAGCGGTTCAGATTTTTACTTGCGCTGCCAATATTTTCGTTGACCCCACCAAAAAAAGGAAAAGTTAATAGCTATTTCTTAGCCACATGTTTTAAATATTGTGTCAAACATGTGTTCCAGAATTTACATATTTTAAAAATTTTAATAAATGTATAATGAGCAAATCATCGTGCTGTACGTACGTAAATGTCTGCTTCCAAGACATTCTTTAAGCCTCATAATTTGATGTTGTTGTCACATATGTATGCATATATATATATATATATATATATATATATATATATATATATATGTATGTACAAATTATATAATTTTATATATATGTATATACACACACACATATCAAATGTAGTTCTGACGTATAAAACGTGAAATAATGTGCAAGAATAGCTAACAAGGAAAGAAAAACATCAACATTATGCGTTCATGACATCATTTTTTATAGCTAAATCTATAAACTGCATTCGGAAGAGGGTGATCATTTGATTGCCACTTCTACGATCCAATCAGCGATCCCATTTAATAGTGACAAACACTTCTGGCCAATCAAAATCTGCAGCCTCTGCGTCTGACCAATGAGAGCGCAAAGAAGGCGTGTCTGTCAGAAAGCGGTAGTAGTGCTACACCCGTCGGTGTGTCAGACGCGGATCCTCCAGAAGTTTTGCGCCTGACCCTGATCATCTCGCCCAGACCATCAAATCTGCGCCAAAACCCGATCCGCTTACGTATTTTCTGGGTTATGGAACTGGATAAAATGGACGAAAACGACTGGAAATATCACGGGGAGGGCAACAAGAGCATTGTCGTGTCTCATTTGCGGGTAAGTGTTCAATAGTTACTAGCTTTTAGCTTGGCCATGATTTCATATAAACTCAATCAAATCTGATTCAATCAACGAGAAATCCAGTCAAACTACAAGGAAATAACTTAAACTTGAAGTTTGACAGTTTTCCAACGCCATCATGCAGAAATCAACCCTTTCTTCGTCTCAATAATGTGTTGTCAGGGCTTTAAAGCTGTTAGCCGCCTAGCAGGCTAAACTAAGATTCATTTAAAAAAAGAGTACTACGTGTATCACATGTGTTTTAGCAATGGCACACCCACTTTATGGCATCTAAAGTTTCTTAAAGTCATTATATGTTGTAGGATATATAATGCCGAGGTCATTGTACAAGGCCAGTTGAATGAATGGTGAGTTGTGATCTTGTAGTTTGTGTGACTGGGTTTATGCACCCAACATGGGTCTAATGGGGATATTAGCGATAAGACAATTGCACTTAATATCCTCCCTATTTAGTATTCAAAGTTCAGATAGGAAATCTGTCACCTAACAGTGGGCGAAAGACACTAGGGGAGGGTAACTAATAAGATAAGAAGGTCTAGACTGGTTTCACACCAGATTGATGCGTTTGGAAATTGATTAGGCGAGAAAGTAATACGGGGATGAAAAACTTTTTGTGTTTTAATGTGGTGCTTTGAGAATGAGCACAAATGGAGATGACAGAACCTGTTGTAATATAAGTTTTTTTACGTCATATTGTTGTGTTGGGATTAAAAAAAACTTTGGACTGAAGTTGGTTTAATGTGCAAAAACGTTGCATAAATGGTCAAAACTGAGAAATTCTTTAAAATGTTTTGTATCAGTTGAAAGTGAAAGTTTTTGCTTTAAATTTTATAAAGTTGCATGGAGTTTTGAGAACGCTAAAGGGAACACTGAAAGTTTATAAAATGATAATGCAGTTGGTGTTTTAGTTATCCAGCATGCCTAAACAAATTATGTGAATGTGTTCCTAATGTATATTTTTTCTATTTTATTTTCATGTATTCATGTTTTTTCTAGTTTAGAAAGTGATGATAATGGTAGTTTTTCAAAAACCAGCACTTGATAACTGATATTCTGGGCCCCCTCATACATAACTAAGCATACACGTAGTTATTTGTTCCTAAAAATGGTGTCTGTCTTGTAAGCATAACTCAACTTATTTTAACAAAACTTTATGTAAATAAGTTCATCTGTTAATTTAGGGTTTAGTTGACTTTTTCCACTAAGATTGTGATTTCAAGGATTGTTTAGTTAAGATCAAGGATATTTTCCTGTAAGACAGGTAGGGCTTAACTTTTGTCAGATTTTTCCAGTTTCGTTTGTACCCTCGAATGATAAATAATCTGCCGGAACAAACATTTGAAGTCATAAACTGACTGGATTTGCATATTACAACACAAGAGTGTGTATCCAATCACAGGAAGCTGCCCGAGACGACATTGACCAATAGGTTGATGTAATCGTGCTGAACTGGGTGTGGGGAGAACTGGTGAAGCTTTGATGCAGTTTTTTTTTTTTACCAGTTCTGCAGTCCTGCAAGGGCTTGTTCGCCTCCGTTTAGTGACATTCTTTCATGCACCCACACTGTTTAGCAGATATTCGTCTGGCCTGGATTTAGATTGTTGGAATAAGAGCCGACCCACAAATTCCTGTTGAAATCAGTGTGAATGAGGCGTCTTATAAAACAGTTTAATAAGATTTCTGTGTGGTTTATGTAGATTTTTGGTTGAATTTTTTTAAAGGTCATTTATTTATGTTGTACCCTTTGATGCCCCATTTTGATGTCTGCAGCAAATTAAAATCGCACTCTCATAACCTTAACTAATATATTCTAGTAGTGCATATTACATTTTTTGTAAAAAGTAAAAAAAAAAATAAAATAAAAAAATTAGAATTCTTTTTGAATGTATAAATTGTCCCAAAAATAGGTAAAATAATGTTCCAGTTTTAATTCAGGCTAACATTTATTTATGAAACCACATTTTTTTTGCCAGACCTATTAACATACATTTGGGAAAATATTTTGATCAAACTAAATGTCATTATATTTTAAAATATTAAAAATATCTTACTTTGGGTAAATTATTTAGTTTGGAAGGTCATGGAAGGTTTCATTTAACTAAAAAAGAATGAAAATGACTTGTATTATATAATGAATATTATTTTGATGCAGCCCTGCGATAATTTAAATATATTTTAATAATTTACCAAATGATTCCTCTTCTAAATGTTCCTGAAAAGATTTTATCTCGTATATAAGCTATTGTTATAATGACATTGACATAATATGTTGTTGAATGGTAGTTTAGTGGGGGTCACAGCTATAAAAAAATAAAAATAAAAGTTTAGTCAGAATTCTTTAAATATAAGTAAAATTAAACAGGAGACATGCTACAAAACCGTTTTACATATTTAATATTTTCACGCTTGTAAATCTCATAGTTTTTTTCAACCAATTTGTTTTTTTTGTTGATATTTATCAAAAGTAGATCTTAAAAAACAGTTTTATATGTTTTTGTTTATACATTATTAGTTGCTGTTGATGTCTTTGTATACTTATAAATCTATGTTTTATAGAAATGTGTTATTTATAAATTATATTTTAATCTGTTTTTGCCTTGAATTAGCCATGATACGCTCTAATATCTCAGACACCTATTTGTTTTCTTCACATTCTGCGGATGAGTTGTGCGTCATTCATTCATGAGCTTCATCCTTTTACGTTGATGTTCCGTTAAGGCAGAAGTAGGTTTTGTACAACTTGAGCAAGAGCATTTAGAAACTGCATTAATAGCCCATCGGTTGCATCAGTCCATAAAACAGTCTGCTCAACTAGTACGTTTATCATCACTGCAATGATGTCACCTTTACCTTGAGGAACCTTTTCATGTCCGAAAGCGTTTTTGGAAAAATGTCATGTGAATTCAGTTCACAGTTCAGTGGATTAAGAGTTTGTTGCCAATACAAAGTACAGTCATAGGCCAACCGCTTCACAGGATTCCCTTCTCTGCTCACTGAGATATTTACAATGCCTAAAGTCTGTTTATAAATACATTATTTCCCATTACAGCACTGTCAAGTTCTCCGTCTGTTGAAGGTTCCCTCTGAGGACTCTGCACATACACGACAGGTAAAACGATATTTGATCAAATTTTCTTGTTGTTATTAATTACTCATGCTGATGTTGAGCTGTTATTTTAACAAGTATAACACCAAAATACTTGGTGTATTGCTTTATACAACATATTGATGTTCAGAATAAACGACTGTGCCAACCAAATTAAATAGCAAAAGTTTCGTAAAGTACAATAGTTCACACTTTACAATAAAGTCTCATTAGTAAACATTAGGAAACACATGTCACTTGTATAGTTTTGAATGGGAAAATGTGTAAAGGTCAATATGGCGAATGAAGCCCCGCCTTCTAGTAGATGAACCAATCATCGATCGTTATAGACTGACGTTTCTCCAGGGTAAAAGCTTGGAACAGACGTGTGCTTTTACAACTGTGTGCTTTTTTTTCATAGTATGTATGATATGAATGCGAGGTACAGTCCGTCCTGTCAAACGCACATCATATGACAGCAACTACTTAAACGTCCACAAACGTGTAAACAAAAAGTTGCTGTCATTTTTGGAGGAGGTTTGCCTTCAAGACCAAGTTGTGAATTAATTCTGAAGCCAAGCACGATCTGACGAAGCAGTATTCAGAGGATGATAATGTGTTGAATGGTCATAAATGAGGTTGGTGTCGTGATCTCGTTCCTTTCGAGTGCCCATGCGCATTAGCTTGGGCAACCTGAAAATATGCCGATTTTGTTTGATTCATTTATAAACTAAACTTATTACACAGTCGTTGTTTAATTTATTGGTGATTCCAAATATGTAATCGTAAGCTTGGCAAACAGTTGGAGAATTTGATGCTTCCCCATTCAGACAGAATCCCCGAGCATACCGCCCGAGAGGCATTTCAAAGGTGGCCGCAGAGTGAAATCACTAGCCTTAAAGTGACTTTGACGTTAGTTAATGGATTCAAATGAACAATGGGAAAAAGCCTGATATATTACAGGTAATATGGCTTGTGATTAGTCAGATTACGACTATGATTTCAATGCATTATTTGGCATTAACTAAGAAATCAAAATCTCCTAAGTGTATTAAGCTCATCCTGAGTTTCGTCAAATTGCCTTATGTCAACTCAAGGAGATTTATTGCCGCAGTGTTAGCCTACAATATAAATAGCCACAGAATTCTCAATCAAAATGTCTGCACGTCGTAGGCCAGATTAACATGCGAAAATGTTTATGTTTGAACTATTAAGCTAATTAACTAATTACTTCTCCAAGCATTTAAGCATTTGTGTCTGCAAATAAAAAATGAAAATTCGTTAAAAACACTTAGTTTAAAGGCCCCCTGAAGTGCATTGACATGTGCAAATTTTTTTCGATGAAGTAATCTCAACTGATAAAAAGTATAGCTCCTCCCCTTTAAAAAAACAGCCAATAGCAATCTGTTGATGAGTGGTAGAACTCAAGCGCATCAAATGTGAAGTGTCTTGAAGGGGGCGGGGCATGTCATATACCAGAGAGCATTTGATTGGCCACAATTTTATGAGAAACTAAAGTACGAGGCGACGTGAATAAATTCATTGATCCATTGTAGTGACAAACTACAAGCTTTACATGTTTATATCAGTTTTATATCTTCTAAACAAGAATTTTGTCACTGTTTTGGTGCACTCTAGCTCATAGATATCCTAAAAACTAACAATAAAAACTTTGTTAAATAATAAATAATTGTTCATTGTGTTTTAAAGGTCAGCTATATTAATAATTTCCAAACCTGCTATGTTTACGTTCGGTTCTTTCACTTTAAAGTCAATTAAAAGTTCCTAATAATCACCATAAAAGGGAAGTTTGTGAACGTACACACAGCAGCCTGAGAAAAATGTTCATTTCAGGTGGCACTTGAACATCATTTAGATGAAATTTGAACTCTTCAAAATATTGAATTATTGAATATTGTCATTTGTTTTAACCATATGTGTTACTTCCCAAACTATAATGGTATTTCCCATGATGATAAAGTATTCAGAAAACTTTTGTAACATTAGATTTTAGAAAACAATTTGCACAAATGGTAACGTTTACTATTATATTGTGGGTTTTCTTTCACTGTATTTCGATTGTCTCCTTTGGTACAAAGAGCATCTGCAGAGATGCAGATGCAAATCAGCCTCAAATGTTCGGTCTTTATGCATTTGCATCATCATAGAGCGTAACGTCAGCTTATTTTCCTATCTTTTCCACAGACCGCAGAACAAACTTTGCGACACATCCTCAACATTATGGACTATAGCAAACATGTCATGAAGCCTTTGCTTGGGGAGAAATACGTTCACAGCGGAGTAAGTTACAGTTCCTGAAGTTTGTGTATATTGCCAGTGCCTGTTGCTTTGAAGGGATAGTTCACCCAAAAATAAACATTTCCTCACATTCAAGTGGTTGTAAACTTTTATGGATTTCTTTCTACTGTTGAACATAAAACAAGAGATTTTGAAGAATCTTGGAAAAAGCAGCCAATGATATCCACAAAAAATACTATCAAAGTCATTTTTCCCTACTAACAGTTGAAAGTTCTCAAACAAATTAGGAACAAGTGGAGTAAATGATGACCGAATTGTAATTTTTGGATGAACTTTCCCTTTAAAATAAACCGTGACTCCTTGAATAATAGCTTGAATGTTTTGCAGGAGGTTGTCAGACTACCGCTGGACTTTTTAAGACAGATGTCACTGAAGGTCCAACAAGAACGACCTGGTAAATGACTGTATTTTTTAATTCAGTTGAAGGGGGTTAAACGGCCCCTATTTGTGTGAAAGCAAACACACTGTTTTCGTGTGTGTCTTAAATGCAAATGAGATTGTTTCTCCTCCTCCCTTTACAGAAGAGGGTGAAGTCTTTACAGCTTGTGCCTTTACACTAATACATTCTTGTTAACACTAAATGGGCAATATTGTATTGATTGATATACATTTGCCCAACGAAAAAAATTGGACTTATTGTAATAACGATAATCTATAATTAATTTGCGAAATGATTTGTTATTACAGTAGTACAAGTGTGATATTTTTGAGCCTGTCTACAAATCTCGAGTTACTGACATTCTTTAACTGTAAATTCACCTCATAACACCTGTCGAGTTTTTAAAATAATTAAAAACGTTGATACTGAAATGTTTAAAAATATACAATCTTGCTTCTTGGATAGTATCGATACTGGCTTTGCTCTCTCACACTCTCTGAAAAATCTATAATAATATTAAGAATTTAACACTGTTGTGTTAAACAGAAAATAAGAAGAAATTGCACTAGTTTAGTTTAGTTTTTTTGTAATTTATTGCCTTTTGTACTTTGCTGACGTACAGTATCTGGTATAAGCATTATGGGCTCTATTTTGACGGTCCATGCGCAGAGTGCAAAACGCAAGGCGCAAACGCTTTCAGAATGCATTTTTGCTAATTTAAGGACAGGAAAATCAGCTTTTCGCCATGGCGCATGGTCTAAAAGTGTTGAGTTTATTTTCTTAATGAGTTAAAGGTGTGTTTTTAAGAATAAACCAATTAGAGTCTCATCTCCCATTCCCTTTAAGAACCAGCTACGTCGCACCATAAGCGCATTCGCTATTTACAGGACGCAAGTGGAAAATCTGAGCATTTCACTAGCAAACAGTTAACAGTTTTTTTAACAGAAAACTGTTAAACAGAGCATCTACTGCGTGAGAATGAGAGATAATGGAACTACTTTCACTTCGCTCTTGGATAGGGAAACCTTTACGCACAGACATCAATTAGTCTATAAATAATTAATTTTGTTTATTAAGTGCAAATATTCGTTTCAAAACTGTTTCTAAATTCAGTTCTAATTTCCAGCAAACGAATAAATGAACAACAATAACAAAGTGTGTTCAAAAACCTGAGTTATATCCTAAAACACATGCTGTGCCCCATATGGTCTAAAACCTGACAGGTGGGCAAATCTAAGCTTGTTTTTAATAAACAAATATAAATATGTATATAATAAATAATACTGCTAATAATAATAACATTATACAAAAGCAAATTGTTATGAATGAACTAAAAAAGCCTCCCGGGATGAAGAAGACATAAAAACAGTGATTTTTTATATTTATGTAGGCTAGAAAATAATATGTTTTGTAATATTTTAATCCTTTTATATTTTTATCCTACATATATTCTTATTATATCCTATATATATCCTTAATATTTAAATTTTTTTTATATGTAAAGATATTTGCCTATTGCTGTCTTGTGCGTATTAAGCAGTGCGTAAGCGAGGCGCAACTCTGCGCTGGAGTTTAGACCGGGTTTGTTTTGGTCTAATGAAAAATCTATTTTAGTTTCTCAAAATAGCAACACGCCAGCCGTCCGCCGCAGAACGCCTTCCTTTTTAGACCAGAACGCCTATGGGCGCACATCTGAGCGCTAATGCATTTGCTATTTAAACAGCGTAGCGCAACGCCTCAAAACGACTCTTGCGCCAAGCTGAAACTACCAAAAGACTACTGCGCTGCACCTTGCGCCACATTGCACCGGGTGTATGATAGGGCCCTATATGGTTTAGTTATTTTAAAAAAATCTTTTAACTTCATTTGCATGCTTAAAATCAGTGTTTCTCAACCACGTTCCTGGAGGACCACCAGCACTGCATGTTTTGGATGTCTCCTTTGTCACATCCATTACAGGTCTTTCAGTCTCTGCTAATGAGCTGATGATCTGAATCAGGCGTGTTTGGTTAAGGAGACATGGAAAATTTGCTGAACTGGTGGTCCTCCAGAAACGTGGTTGAGAAACACTGCTTTAAATGTTTCTGAATTTGTTCCCCACAGTATCGAATGTTGATATGTTTCATAGTGAAGTTGGAAACTGCAGTATTGTGACAACACTAGACATTGTTTGGTATCACATAATGAAGAAATAATCCTGCTATTTTAAGTAATAAAGGCTAGGTCAATTACTATTGCGCTATAAATATACTTTTAATGCTTATAAAATACCCAGGTTGACTTGTTGAACACAAATAATCCAGATATTGCCATGAGAGTGTGTTTTTTCTCATCATGTTTGATCCATTTCTATTCTCTTCATCCTCACACAGTGAGAGCAGACTGTAGCTGACGTAATTTTCAGTAAATAGATGTGGAGATTATGCACGTGACAGCGGTATGAATGACACAGAAATAACATTTAAACGCATGTTTAACATCTTGACCTCGGACCACTATCCCCATGCACCTCAGTTTTCAAAAGTCTGCATTTAGTCTGTATATGAAGACTTCTGATGCAAAAACCTCTGAGCGCCGTCTGAAATTTCTAGCGAACATTAACATTTTTACTCAGCCTTCTTTGTTTATGTTGAGATATTTTACTTGAAAGACCATGAAAAGGACTTCTTCTTTGCCATTTCAGACAGCATTTAGAGGTTTTTGCATCTAAACTCTAAACTCTTCATATGCTGAAGTGCTACGCCAGCATTTCCAAACAAAAACAGTTTTCAGCATTTTCAAAGCGCTCTATTTTCACAGGTTGCAGATGCTGGAGTAGTGTGGACAGCAGGCCTAACCGTGATAAAGCGTATGCATTTTAAAACAAAAACGCACTTGTCTAAATAGCATCTCAGTCGCTCCAGAAAACACAGAGGAACATTTTCATGCATTTTAAAGGTTTAAGACAGTATTTTTAGGGCACATAAGGTAGTTGTATGAGTACTACACTGCTCAAATATTTAGGATATTTTCATAACTAATTTCTTGCAAAACCAATGCTACATAAATGTAAATAGGAAAAAATGGTACTGTTGTATTTTGATCACTTAATAAGAAGTACTAAACAATCTCAAGGCTAAATAAATATCTTTCCACAGATGTATGGTTTTTTATTATAGATCAACATTTGGCCGAAATATTGAAAATCAAGTCTGAATATTGTGAAAACCGCCTTAAAATGGTCCAATTTCCATTCTTAGCAATGCACATTACTAATGAAAAATTGTGTTTTGATAGTTACGGAACCAAATAGACAAAATGTCTTCATGGAGGATGATCTTTACTTGATTTTCAAGTGATTCTGACCTTATAAACTAGTTTAAAGGTCTTTTGTTCTGTGTCTTATGACTGGCATGTTTCCTGAGATTCTCCCACAGTCAGTCTAAAGATACAGTCATTTTTGTTGACGGGGATTTTGTGTTGCGTAACAGTGTTGTGGTCTTTTCTTCATGCAGAACTGCGCTGTGATAAGGTCATGGACACTTTCAGCGGCTGCGGTTTATGCCTTCCCGATCTAACCCAACTGCCCCTTCATCACCTCAGAGACCACAGACCTCCAATCTGCGTTGAGATAAAGGTGAACTTCACATTTAACACCTGAAAGGCTGGTTTTATAAATAACTGCTGTCATGATTCCAAGAATCATATTTCCAGACAATTATACTCTAAGCAAAAATGCCAGAAACCTCGCCTCGAATGTGTTGACTTGAGTGTCACGTCTTACACGACTGGTCATTGAACTTGAAGGTGGCTGTGGATGAGCTTTAGCTTTTTATATATATATATATATATATATATCTTTATGTATCTACTGTAGATGCTCTCTATGTTGCTAAACTGGAAACTTTAAATCTCATGAAATGAGAAGTACTTTTTTTAGGGGTGAGTTTATGAACACCCAGTTTATAGGGAAGTGAACCACAGCATCTGAATGACTCACTGAATATATCTGTGTGGAATTTAATCACATGGTTAGTCAAACTGGTATGAATCTGAAGTGAAAGGCTTGTGTGTGACTATCTATAAAGCTTGTTGACAAAACATCATTGTGTAATTTGAAGATGCCGAGATAAAATTCCACGTTTTTCCCTTTTTTCAGCCAAAATGTGGATTTCTACCCTTTTCGAGACACATGACGAAGGAATGCAAATGGAAAGTTTGCAGATTCTGCATGCATCAGCATTATAAGGCAAGTTCCGATTACGAATCATACAAAAGGCCTCGTTTTTTTCCAATGTAAAGCATCGTTTCTAGAAGTGAAGTCCGATTTCTAAAGCAAACTTCTGCTTTAACAAAAAGAGGATGGTCCAGCGTAGTGTAAACATCCTGCTGTCTGTTTGTACTGCTCCCTATCACATAATCAGTCCTGTGGGAGTTCAGTTACAGCACACGCTGAAATCATAGTGTCCAACTGAATCAGGACTTTGGAGAGTGTATCAGATTTAAAGCGAGAGAAATTTTGCTGATCAGCCAAGATGTTGACAGTAGAAGATCAAAGAAGATTTTTAGCTGAAACTGTGGTTCTTGGTGATCCATAAAATGCAAGCCAGCAGCTTAAAACACATGCAGTCAAAACAAAATGAATACCTGTGGCTTTTCACAATACGTTGAGGTCTTATGAACTAAAACGGTCGTTCTGTGCAAGAACAGTATATTAGTTTGATTTATTGCAATATGTGAAAGGAAGCCTGTGTTCCAGACTATCGTGAGAAAACGCTCAGAAATGTTTGCAGAGGCTGTGGGTTAAAGGTAATGATGTTGTAAAACATTTTTAGTTGTTTTTTTTTTTACCAATAGTTCAGACTACTGTGTGTTGACAGGAGCCACAAGTATTCATTTTAACGGTGTCCACGGGATCTTAAAAAGTTTTAAATGATGATAAATCAATTTAGAGAAAATAAAGTGCCTTAGTTATTGCGATAACACCGTGGTTAGGGTGCCAACATCTAGGTGTCATTCTACTGTCAAATAAAGACAAAGATGTCTTAAGAAGTCTTAAATGCCCGTTTCCAATGTATTCAATTTTGTATCATGTTTTAATTGTATACAGTGCATCCGGAAAATATTCATAGCGCTTCACTTTTTCCATATTTTTCTATGTTAACGTCTTATTCCAAAATAGGTTAAATTAATTTATTTCCTTAATTCTACACACAATACCCCATTATGACAATGTGAAAAAAAGAGGTTTTGAAATTGTTGCTAATTTATTAAAAATAAAAACCTGCAAAAACACATAATAAGTGTTCACAGCCTTTGCCTTGAAGCTGTAAATTGAGCTGAGGTACATTCTGTTTCCACTGATCATTCTTGAGATGTTTCAGCAGCTTAATTGGAGTTCACCTGTGGTAAATTTAGTTGGTTGGACATGATTTGAAAAGGCATACACCTGTCTTTATAAGGTCCCAGGGTTGACAGTGCATGTCAAAGCACAAACTAAGCATGAAGACAAAGGAATTGTCTGTAGACCTCCGAGACAGAATTGTCTCGGCACAAGGCTGGGGAAGGTTACAGAAACGTTTCTGCTGCTTTGAAGGTTTCAGTGAGCACAGCGGCCTCTATCATCTATAAATGGAAGGTGTTTGGAACCACCAGGACTCCTCCTAGAACTGGCCGGCCATCTAAGCTGAGTTGTCGGAGAAGATGGGCCTTAAAGTTAGGGAGGTGATCAATAACCCGATGGTAACTCTGTCTGAGCTCCAGCATTTTTCTGTGGAGGGAGGAGAACCTTACAGAAAAACAACCATTTGTGCTGCAATCCACTAATCAGGCCTGTATGGTAGAGTGGCCAGACAGAAGCCACTCCCCGCCTGGAATTTGCCAAAAGGCATCTGAAAGACTCTCAGACCATAAGAAGCAAAATTTTTTGGTCTGATGGGACTAAAATTAAACTATTTGGAGTGATTGCCAGGTGTTATGTTTGGAGAAAACCAGGCACCGCTCATCACCAGGCTAATACCATCCCTACAGTGAAGCATGGTGGTGGCAGCATCATGCTGTGGGGATGTTTTTCACCAGCAGAAACTGGAAGACTAGTCAGGATAGAGGGAAAGATGAATGCTAAGAGGAATGCTACTGCTAAAGGCTGATTTATACTTCTGCGTCAAACGCCGGCGTATGCTATGGCGCTGACGCATAGCCCTTCGCCGTGGCCATCGCCGTCACTGACGTGCACCTCTCAAAAATTGTAACTACATGTTCTAACGACGCGTAGCGTAAGCTCTGTGATTGGTCGGCTTGGTAGCGCTGACGAGTCTGGGCGGGACCGAGAGCCACGCGAATGGCGCGAGCGATTGTTTACAAGTGTGGAGTCCTGTGAAGGAGCTCTGGATGGAAAGTTTTGTTTTGTGTTTACCTCATAGTTAAAGTTGTTGCACGTCTGCTGGTTCCTGCCTCAAAATGAGCGAGTTTGAGCCACTTGTACATCCCGGAAGTGTTCAGGAAAAGCAAAGCAACAGCGAAGAAACTCGACACAGAGGAACATTTACACCTCACTGCCCACTAGCGTTTCGGAAGTGTTAATGCAGACCAACAGAGACAGCGCGCAGAAGTATAAATGCACAGTCACGCGCGTTGCATGCGCCGTGAGTTACGCCGGTCACTTGACGCAGAAGTATAAACCAGGCTTAAGAGGAATGGGCAAAAAATCCCAAAGACAGGTTTGCCTGTGGCATCATATTAAAAAAAACTTAAGGCTGTAATTGCTGCCAAAGGTGCATCAACAAAGTATTGGGCAAATGCTGTGAATACTCATGTACATTTTTCAGCTTTTTTTATTTTTAATAAATATGCAACAATTTCAAAAAATCTTTTTTCACATCGTCATTATGGGGTATTGTGTGTAGAATTTTGAGGAAACCAATTATTTTAATCCATTTTGAAATAAGGCTGTAACAAAAAATATGGTAAAAGTGAAGTGATTTGTTGCCATCTCTTCACTCATTAACTGCTGCATTATAGAGCTAGTCTGTTTAGAGGCATTGATATGCTTCATACAAGCTTCTTTTTTGTTCTTTGTTTGGGCCAAAATAAAGAGTCAAGTGATGTATGTGGTATGTGTCCCCTTTTAACAAAAACAGAAAGAATGATTGCGAATTTGCCCTTTTTATTCGCCAAACTCGGAGCACAACCAAGACTGTGCAGTTGTGCTGTCTTACAATGAGTATATAGTAAATGTCAGTTCATGTATTGCTGGCGTAACCATTTAGAACTGGCAATAAGGTCTTGAAATGTATAAAAAGTGTATGTTGCATGTTGATTGTCAGTCATCAACAAAGTCCAATTTCAGCAAAAAATCTTTTTTAACGTACTACTGAAGCAAAAAAAAAACACTAGATTTTTGACTGAACAGTCTTTTTAAGCGGCTGTGTATACTTTACAGTTTACAGATTCCTAACATGCCATTTTATCTTTCACAGTTAGCCAATGGGAAGTGGAAGCGACTGAGTCGATATTGCCCTCTGGATCTCTTCTCAGGGTGAGTCACTGATTCTGTCACTCAATGCAGAGACTCAGAGCTGGATTTATATCTTTTGATGATGGTGTGACATTTAGCCTGCATTCTTATCAAGCCTAACTAACTGTGGCAGGTATTCAAGCAGTTGGTTGCGTCACTGGCCTTTTGTTGAAGCGAATAATTTTTTTACTTGGAAAAATCAGCCTGCATTCTTATCATGCTTAACTAATTGTGGTAGAGATATTCAAGCAATTATTCTGTCACGGACGTTTTGTTGAAGCAAATAATTTTTTACTTGGAAAAACCGCAGTCAGCATTTTTAAGTTGTGACGCACATCTTCACCGTGAGACCAACCCTAACCATTTATAAGTTCAGATTCAATTCTGTTGTGGAAAACTGAGATCTCTTACGAATGTTTTTTTAAAGTCAATAAAATGTACAAAGGGGCGAAGCAGTGGCACAGTAGGTAGTGCTGTCGCCTCACAGCAAGAAGGTCGCTGGTTCGAGCCTCTGCTCTGTTGCCGTTTCTGTGTGAAGTTTGCATGTTTCCCTGCGTTCGCGTGGGTTTCCTTCGGGTGCTCCGGTTTCCCCTGCAGTCCAAAGACATGCGGTACAGGTGAATTGGGTAGGCTAAATTGTCCATAGTGTATGAGTGTGTGTGTGTGGATGTTTCCCAGAGATGGGTTGCGGTTGGAAGGGCATCCGCTGCGTAAAAAACTTGCTGGATAAGTTGGCGGTTTCGCTGTGGTGACCCCGCATTAATAAAGGGACTAAGCCGACAAGAAAATGAATGAATGAAAAATGTACAAACCTGTATATAAATAGCTATGCTTCCTTCAAAAGAAGCTAAACTGGAATTTGATGCAAAACATTTGTGAATAAATCAGTTTCCATTCAATGAGTTAAAGAGGACAAATTCCTCACTTCCTTATAAACCAAAAAATAAAATGAAACTGTTTGACGCAGTAGGAGAAGCCACTGTTGGCCTTGTTTCTTGTAATAAAATTACCATACAGTGGCTTTTGGAGACTTTGTGAGCGCAGGCTCTCAACACAGTTCTGGAGATAATAATACTGAACCACTTTGACCACAGATTTTGGCTGAGGGATTTGAAAAAGACCAAAATGACATTTCAGATGTTTTACAATCTGTTCAGTCAATTTAGTTCAGTCTGTTCAGCCCCTGGTTTGTCCAATAATGTCATCCTATCACACCCATTTTTGTTATTGCATGATCTGTTAAACAAATTCACATAATGTGTTTCCTTCATAGTGGAATTCACCGGTTCAACTGCACCCAACCCATGCTAAGCTGAGATCGAACCAGCCATTCTATGTGTGGGAGTTGGTTGCTCTAACAAGAGGCTAAAGGCCATGGCCTCAAGCGTCTTTTGCTAGAGCACCTGTAGAGGTCAAAGGAGTGAGGTTTACCTGCATAGCACTTCACTAGCTGGCCTCCATTACACTCACTGTTATCCCGGACGACCCCCACATGAAACCCATTAGTTCTACTGCACCCAAGCGTCGATCGAACCAGTGATTCTTTCTAAGGGAGTCGGTTGCTCTAACAAGGAGGCTAAAGACCATGGCCTCTAGTGTCTGTCTCTAGAGCACCTGTAGAAGTAAAAAAAAGTGCGGTTTACCTGCATGGCACTTTGCTAGCTGTCCTCCGTTACAATAGTTTATGTGAGAAAAAAATTTCCAGATAAAGTGTATCTTACTCCGTTGCGTGTTCAAGGTTATTTTATGCACATTTTTAAAATTGATGCACATCTTGTTATTTCCATTTAAACATTTTTTGTTATACTAGAAAAACAGGTAAATGGCTAATGACAATCAAGCACAGAAATTGGCTCTTGGGACATGGAATGTCACCTCAACAGGAGGGAAGCAGCCTGAACTTGTGCAGGAGGTTGAATGGTACTGAATAGAGATAGTCAGGCTCACCTCAGCGCACAGTTTTGGCTCTGGAATTCAACTTCTTGAGAAGGGCTGGACTTTTTCCACTTTGTAGTTGCCCCAAGCGAGAGGCGGCGGGCTGGTGTGGGCTTGTCTATAGCTCCCCAACTCAGCCACCACGTGTTAGAATTTTTCCCTTAAATGAGAGGATCGCCTCCCAGCGCCTTTTGGTAAGGGATAGGTCTCTCATTGTAGTTTGTGCCTACAGGCCAAACACCAGTGCAGAGTACCCAGCCTTTTTAAAGTCCTTAGGAGGGGTGCTGGAAGGTGCTCTGACTGGGGACTTCATCGTTCTACTGGGGAATCTTCAATACCCATCTGGGTAATGACAGTGATACTTGGAAAGGTGTGATTGGGAGGAACAGCCTTCCTTGACTCAATCCAAGTGTTGGTCTGTTGTTGGACTTCTGGGCTAGCCAGTTTGTCCATAATGAACACCATGGTTAAGAATAAGGGTGTCCAACAGTGCATATGGCACCAAGACACCTTAGGCCTTTTGTTGAAGCATCCCTTATGCATAGGGTGAGCAGCTCTGTCACCTAGGAGGAACACTGAATCACTGCTCTTCACGTCTAGAGAAGCCAGCTGAGGTAACTCAGGCATTTGATTAATATGTTTCTTGGATATCTACCTGGAGAGGTGTTTCAGGCTTGTCCCGCTGGTAGGAGGTCTTGGGGAATACCCAGGAAAGGCTGGAGGGACTATGTCTCTGCTTGCCTGGGAATGCCTTGGGATCTCCCCAGAGGAGCTGGTAGAATTGTTCAGAGAGAGGAAGGTCTGGGGTTATCACCCGAGATTTCTGCCCCCACCAGCGGAAGAAAATGAATGGATGGCTTTTTTTTGTGATTGGTAAAAAAAAAAAAAGATTAAAATGTGGCTAATGTTTAATTAATCTTATATTCCAGGAGCAAACAGCGAATGTATGTTGCATTGAAGAATCTCTTAGAGGAACCACAAAACAACTTAAAAATCTTTAAGGTAAATATAAACTTCTGTGTTTAATTCAGTCTTGAGACAACTTTTGTATTATTGTTACTTTAAATCTACTCATAGTTTCTGCTTTTATATTTGTTTGACTCACTGGAAAATTATGATTAAGTATCATTAATCTTTTTATTTTCTCCATTCATCTCATTTTTCCAGGGTGGAGAGTTGATTTTTAGCTGTAAAGACGATGCCAAACAGCAACCCGACTTAAACAATCTCATTCAGCACCTTCGGCCTTATTTCCCCCACACTAACGGCCTTTATAATGGCCACCAGCCCGGCAAAGTCATCCTCAACGAGTTCATTCAGGTGATCTGTTCTGCTCTGCTCAGCGGCGGGGACTCAAACCGTTCCGGAGAGCCCAGGAAGATGCACCTTTCAGAAAGCAAACCACACTGTGAAGCCAGTCCCTTCCCAAGAGACTTGATTCGAAACGGTGAGGCCAATTTGGATAAGACCCTTCCCTTAGCTCCCTAAATAGTTTTCCTAGTAGTAATTGGTCCTTCTGGAAGCTTCTAAACATTCAAAAATGATTTCTGTAAACAGGGCTTTGTTACGTTATTGCTGTTTGTTTATATATATATATATATATATAACTGTGATGATGTCTCATCCGAAAGACGGTGCTCACTCGCAGCATAGAGTCCCCCTCACTTTACTGGGGCATTAGGACTCGCACAGACCACAGGTTGAGCGCCCCCTGCTGGCCTCACTAACACTACTTCCAACAGCAACCTAGTTATCTCATGTGGTCTCCTATCCACAAACTGACCAGGCTCAGCCCTGCTTAGCTTCATAATGTTATAATATGTTGATTTCTTGATTTTAATGTTATCATTTTGATCAACCATTATCAATTATTAAGTCCTAACAATCGATCTTTCAGTCTATATGTAAATGTGTAGCATGTCTATATAGCATGCTTCCCTTCCAGTAAATTACAATAAGCATATTTTCTTAGTTTCCTTCTAAATGAATTTACCCTACTTTTGTTGCGAAATTGAAAAAGAAAAGCCATTTTTTTTGTAATCCATATTCACCTAAGTTCAGTAAACACCCTTTTTAAATGTGAACGAATATCTGGTCTTGAACAATACATAAAATAAATATTATTAATATAATTGCTGAATCAGTAAATCAGAGGTGTCCAAACTCGGCCCTGGAGGATCGGTGTCCTGCATAGTTTAGCTCTTGGCTGCATCCGAAACCGCATACTTCCATACTTCACAGTATGCTAAAATCAGTATGCGAGCCTAGTAGTATGTCCGAATTCATAGAATTCGAAAGTAAGTACGCGAGAAGTACCCAGATGACTTAATACTTCCGGCGGATTCTGAAGTGCGCACCCCATGCACGCTGTGCTATCCCATGATGCTCCACGAGAGAATTCATGAATGGGAGTGAAGCGATGCAACTGACGCAGGTAAGTCACGTGACCATGACAAAATGGCGGATGTAGCACGTCCGAATTCCATTCACACTTTTCACATTCATACTGTACGTACTCGGAACGTACTTTTCTATTGGCCGAGTAGTACGTTTATATTCAAATGCAGTACCTACTGAGTTATAGGCGGTTTCAGATGCAGCTCTTGATTAGCTAGTTCAAGTGTGTTTAATTGGGGTTGGAACTAAAATATGTGGTACACCGGCCCTCCAGGAGCGAGTTTGGGCACCCCTGCAGTAGATTAACCCATATTCAGGTGTCAACAATACACTTTTCAGCAGAAAACTAGCTTACAAGCCAGCTGATCACTGTGAATAACTTAGCTTAGCTGTTTTTCTTGAAAACAAATGGTAGCCTTGATTCAGTTGAATGGGATGATACAAAAAAGTGACATCTTTTTCAACGTGGAGAATTACTATTTAACAGTACATTTCATGAAAGTAGACTGATAATTGTCAGTAAAGTTGATCATAGTCTTATAAAACGGCCTTAAATGCAATCTAGATGTTTGTAATCCAATCAGCTGTTCATTTTACACTAAAATATTGTAGTAAATAATAAACAAACATAATAAGCGCTATTGTGTTGAATTAAATCAACATTGGATTTGAACCCAACTGCAGGCTTAAGTGAATTAAAATTGAGATGTGCAATTTCTCAGTGTGGCCAGCCCTAATTGGTTTAAAATTAACTTCATTGTTGGGTCACAATATATGCGTAGGAGTGAATCTGCTCAATATAGACAAACGGCAAATAAAAAAGTTGTGTAAAAAAGGTGCGCCCCAGGCAGCGCTGATAAGGGACAGTAGTCGTAAAATCTGTTATGTAAGATCAAGCTCATTTTCATGTGTTCGCAGGTCACCACGGTCTCCCTAAGGACAGTGTCCTCGCAAAAATCCTCCAAGTTCAGATGCTGGATAACCTGGACATTGAAGGAATTTACCCTCTGTACAAGCGCGTGGAGCAGTATCTAGAGGAGTTCCCGAAAGAAAGGTGAACCTGCTATCTGGGATATTGACTGCTACGTTACTGATCTATCAGGGGAAGGTTTGCCTCTTGCTAAGCCAGATTCTTCAGTGTTGGGATTCACTTGAATTATTTTTTACAAATTAACAGCAGAATCACATTTCATTCTTATTGTACACTTTATTTGAAATAATCCTATGGTGACCACTAGATGGAGCAAAAGACTCATTGTGTGTGAATTTGAATTGCAGCCGCATGTTGGTTTTATGCGATGTGGTCATAGGAGATTTGCATGCAAAGCTTTCATTTTTTACTAAATAAACATGCTCGAACACACTTCAGCATGTAATCAAGGCTTGTTTGTATCTCCAGAATCCGACTGCAGATAGATGGGCCTTACGATGAGAGTTTCATGGACACAGTGAAAAGCTGTCTAAACGAGGACGACGGCTCTGTGGAATATGCAATTGGGAAGGTGAGACGGTGAACATGTGTGATGCAGTTGAGTTTAGGTTTAAATCTCACAGTACAAAACAGCAAACTTATGTCATTTTGAAACATTTTTGACTTTTTTTACACGTATTAATGTTAAAAATCTTATTTAATTTATGTATTTATTTGTTTGTTGGTTTTTATTGTATATTTATTAATGAAATGTTTTTGCTATGAAAATAGCCTTTGCTGCTGCACAAAAAAATCCATCATCATCATCTGTATGGTAATTTTGAAATATAAGTAAAATATAAAATAGTGTAATACATATGTATTTTTGTAATTGATATTTTTGGTTCTGAGTCAAATACAGGGTTACTTGTCCATTGCATCGTGATTTTCGGTGACAAATTATGAATGTTGATCCTAAATTTTCATTAGTAAAAGTGATGTATAGAAATAATACAATATTATTATTTTAAGAATATTTTACTAAAATATACTTTGCGACAAAATAGGGCCTTTCAGACTGGAGAAATGTTACTATAGTTCCTAGAACTATTGCTACAAGGACTCGATTTTTGATTTGTTTGCACCAAAGGAACTAGGCTCTATGTACAGCTAGAGTTATAAAGCCAACAATAAACTTCAGTTAAATTAGACTTAAGCATTCATTTAGTTCCTCAAGCGTAAAACAGACAAAAGACCTTTGTAACCACTGGCGATGTCAGTAGCAACACGTTAGTGCAGAAATTCCATTGAAAATACTGGTGTAAACTAAACATCATCGTCATATTTTAAAGACATGGTGGGGGGAAATGGAATTTAATGCTGTGTTTCTTGTCAGATCTGAGACCCACTTCATATCGTATATCTAACAGGCAGTGAAGATTTCTGATTTTTAAAGAAATCACAACTTAAACGTCAAAATTTTGTAATGGAAAGACAGTTCACCAGAAGCCCTTGGGGTATGTGCATATAAGCCGGTGTGCATATACCCCATTGGCTCCTACTTCAGAGTGTAACACAATAGGAATTATAGGCTTGGTGACCGTCTCAGGCTACGTTTATATGGAAGCAATGTAGCAGAAAACTGAAACGTTTTTTTCCTTGCGTTTCACATTTACATGACAAAGTTTTTGTGTGACCCACGTTTACACATCAATGGAAACTATCAACATATGCCACCTTGTTAGTAAACGGCACTTGTAAGGAAGTGTAATTATGCTGATGTGCATGTAGAATTTTCTTTTTGATGCATCGTTGCGTCTTTGCTGTTGGCTGTAAAGTAAATACACACTTTGCTGATGAAGCGTTAGCAAACACGACCACATACTCTGCCACTGTTGTGCGTTTGTTTGCACTTGCCTTTAATCTACACCTCCTTAAACACATACTATGCATTCGCATGGCACCATTAGCTAGGTTTCCATCAAAAAATGCGAATTAAATTTATGTTCATAACTGGAATATCGCATAAACCATGCGAATAAGGCAGTGTTTCCATCCAATGAGTCAAAGAGAAAAAAACTTAACTTCCACATTGACTGGCGCTAAATATCAACAGCAAAAACGAAGTTTGCAGTGGTAGTTGATGTGCATCTTTTCTTATCGAATTAAAAGTTAATCTAACTCAGTTTTGCACATACATTAAGCACATTTTTAAAAAAATTGTGTTGGTTTAATCGCACTCCGATCAATGAAGATTCTTTTTGGTAGAAATTTAAAGTAAATTTTTTCCCTGGTTATTCTTAAAATGCAAGTCAATCCCTACCAGCCATTTTGAGAGTCCAAAAAACATGCATGTAAAATACAGGTGCTCATGACACATTGTGGTTTAATGAACAATTTCCATCTTGCATTCCATCCAACGAGTAAAAGAACAAAATCATCCCTTCCTCATTTACTGGCGCCAAATATCAACAGCAAAAACGGAATTTGCAGTGGTAGTTTATGCGCATCTTTTCTTATCAAATTAAACGTTTATCCTACTCAGTTATGCGCATGTTTTATTCGCATCTTTGTGTTTACATCAACCGATTATATTTTATTTATTTATTTTTTAATGCACATGTCCAAAATGTGCATGAAATAGGTTGATGGAAACAGCTACTGGCAACACCTCGCGTTTTGAGATGTTTACATGTCAATGGCAACGTTTCTAAAAAAAAAATACATTAAAAAAAAAAAAAAAAAGTAAAAATTCAGAATGCGTTTTCAGCAAAAAAAAAAAAAAAAAAAGTTGTCATTTTTTTTTGGCTGAAAACAGCTCTTCTGTGAGATTCCCTATCGGATACACAATATAGATAGCTCTCATTACATCTTGTGCATCTCTCCAGGTTCATCAGTACAGAGTTGCAATGACGGCCAAAGACTGCTCGGTCATGATCACTTTTGCACCTTGCGAAGAAGACGAAGAGTAAGTTAGCTCGCACTTTTTAATATCATCTCCTGGCTGACCTGCCTCGACATTTGCTGTCAGTTTAATTGTGATTTCTTTACATTCACAGACACAAGCTGAATCTGGAGAAGCCTCGTTTTACATACTCCGTCTCCATCCTGGACCTGGACACCAAACCCTATGAAGGCATCCCGCACCAGTACAAGCTGGACTCGAAAATTGTCAACTATTACCTGCGGAGCACACAAGCCCCGCCCCCCTCCAGCCTATATAAGGAAAGGCAGGAGTGTACGCTGCTTTTCCATGCTGTATGAGATGCCTTCAGGAGTGCTGCTCGGAGATGAATAGAAGTTGAAATAATAGTGATAGTTTTGTTTTTATTTTCGTTTGTTTGTTTGTTTGTTTGCCCTCCCAACAAGTGTGCAGCGAAGACGGCTGTTGCCAGGACGACCTAATGTTTTTCTTTCTCGAGGATGATGTTCTCACTGGGGCTGGTCTCCTTAAAGCACAGAATACCTGAACGAGTCAGTCATTGGCTGTAAAAAGGGAGGACGAGGAGGTTGTGTGTGTGTTAGTGTGTGTGTTTGTGCTGTTGGGTTGTTTTATTCGCAGCAGCGCTACTGTGGTTTCCAAGTGCCAAAAGTGGCTTACAGCGATCTTTCCGTAATGAACACTTCACCGTGCATCAGCTTTGCCGAGTGTGCAGTTACCGTACAAGCAGTTTGGAGTTCAAAAACAGACGAGTACTTGAGTTTTTATGCGTGACTACTGCTTTGTAACGTCCCTAAAGAGCTCCTTAAACCACTGACCCACGGCGCGCTACAGTATCGGGAGTTATACTGACAAGCACAGACCTGTTGCATGCTAGTGAATGCGGCTGCGCTAATACTGTCACTACCCGTACGGTTAGATTTTTTTAACTTATAAGAATTAAAAGTCTAATCACATTACTCTTTAATGAAAAGTATTTTTGTAACATGCTCTTGGTTGGCGTAACCGTGTACCGCCATATACAAATTGAAGTGTCTTACTAAACAACAGACCGTAATGAACAAGATCGACCATTTACTTGCCTTGTCACCGCAAACTTATGTTGAATGAATTGTTATACAGCTTAACCCTGTTTTTTAGTCCAAACGAATTTTAAGGGGTTGTTCACACAAAATGAAAAATTGGTGTTGGTTTAATCGCACTCGGATCAATAAAGATTCTTTGGTAGAACTTTAAAGTTATTTTTTTTAGTGGTTGTTCTTAAAATCCAAGTCAATCCTACCAGCAATTTTGAGAGTCCAAAAATCATTTAGGCAAGACTAAATTAATTATGGTTGCTCTTGACACATTGTGGTTTAATGAACAAGAACGATCAATCTGCTAATCATTCTGAGCATGTTTACGACAGTCTGTAGTGCTTTCTGTCACAGAATGCTGTGAATATTGTTCAGTTTCTTTTGCAGACCATTTGCTTTGCTTTGTAAGATCTTGTTATTTACGAGTATGTTTTTTTTTTGTTCGACTCTACTAGTGCCAGTAGCGATTGACTTGCATTTAATGAATTAGCCAAGCCCACATTTCCAGCTAAAAATATACTTTAGTGTTCTACCGAAGAAAAATAAAAGCATGTACATAATGGATGGCCTGAGGGTGATGAAATTACCAGCAAATTTTCATTTTTAGGTGGACTTGGTGTTAGTACGATACTGAAGTTCGGTACCAATCGGTACTGAAATTTGAAAAACTTTTAATTTCCCGCTATTAAATCAAATTAGATAAATCAAATCGCTGTTGAGCGCGTTCTTAAACAGCGCTAATTTGACTTTGTGTTCACGTGCTTAACAGAAATGACTGTGATTGGACTGCAATGTGTTACCAATCAGTGCTTATGTTTTAAAAATTTTTGTGATTGGCCGTGACGGTCATCAGTCACCGAACTCACCGCTGTTTACAGAGTGTAACTACAGATACAGGGGCACTAGAGCGTTTTAAAGCCACACAGATCAGTCGATTCATCAGCGGAGCTTATAAACAGACCAGCTGATATTCATGGCTTTAAAACGATCCAGTATCCCTGTATCTGTGGTTACACCATGTAAACAGCGGTGAGTTCGGTGAACTAATGACCTTTTCGGCCAATCACAGTCATTTCTGTTGAGCATGTGAACACGATGGCAAATCAGCGCAGTTTAAGAATGCACTCAACAGTGCGTAAATGTTTTTGAAAATGGATTTGCAATTTAAGTACCGATTGGTATCGAATTCCAGTATCGTGACAACACTATCTTTTTTTTTTTGCTTTCAAAACTGTAGGAAGACTTCAAAAAAATTGTAATAGTGCACAAGCTGTATCGACTACATTCATGGTGCTTAATATACAGCCTTTCGTCACATTCAACCTGTTGATGTATGCCAAAAGTTGCATAACGGTTGTTCATAAATGTTGAAAAAACATCAGTGTACTGGCATCAAGGTGTGTAAATAAGAACAGAGTCATCATTTATGTCTGAACGACTACTTAAAAGTCCAACATCCATTTTTTAAATTAGCTGTGTTTGTTCATCTTTGAGTTCGACGCTAATATGCTTGCTTGTCAACAGTTTTAAAAGCGCAGACTATAAAACAACCAGCCCAATCCATCCCCTGCAGCTATAATGTCTGTTTTAATGCTCGTAATTGTTTGCAGAGCCAGACATATTTCATAAGTCGACCAAAGATGGACAGCATGCCAATGATCGTTAGCACAATACAGAAGCAAGATGACTCAGCAGTTTTTTTCCAGTGGAGAAGCAGTACATTGTTAGCCCCCAGAAATGCCAGTGCTGATGGACCTAATAATCCAACCACAGTGCAACGGTTCATGCTAACTTTACAGTGTGGCTTTAACACTACGGATGGCACCTCGCGGTCACCTTTCTCTGTCATGGGGAATATTACTGTTACAAAATACTGTGGTGTGAGTGATCCTCATGCTCCTGTTTACCTCTTACAGCGTGACGCAAACTCTGTGGGCTTATTAAACTCAAAGTCGTCAGTGCCGTTTTTTCAGCGGGAGTATATAGTATTTGGGTTTTACATGGATTGACTTTTGCCAAACTGTGTCGTTCACACTCCCCTTTTTGTCTTAATGTGAACTGGTGTCAAGAGAAGTATTAAAAAACGCCTTACTTAATCATGAGCGAACGCACTTTTATCGTCCAACCGATTGCGTACTGTCCTGTCGCTCCATTTTGATGTGTTATGATGATGATGATGATGTATCCGATTAAGTGCAGTTTCTCCACACCAGACATTGCTGTTTTTGCCTTTTGTTTTAACGACATCTTTCCCCATTCGAACCGAGATACTACGAGTCTGAGGTGGTGGCGTTGTCTTATCTTAATGAAATACAGATCAATAATCACTATGTAGATAGGAATGGACGTTGATTTTTGAAAAGGAAAGGAAGTTCGCAGTTTCTGTGATGGAAATCTAATATTAAAGTTTTAACTACTTCAAAAAAAGAAAATACAAAGTGGATTTTGCTGTCTGACATTTTGTATTTAAAATTATTTATTTTTCTAGCTCTTGTCTAATGATGTATATTTCCATACAGTGTGGGCATATGGTGCGTGAAAATGATTAACGCGTACTGGTGGCATCAAGATGTAGTTCCTAACGGGTGATTGTACAGGTGTTTATATCAAATAAAATGATTAGATATGAAGTTCCCATGAGTGCTGACTTGTGATTTACAACTTGTCACGAACACACGGCTCTTATCAAGCCTTCGATCGATGCCTCCACCCCGAGAAGCTGCAGGAGGCTCTGAAAATAATCGGAGCCTTTTTCCATCACTTTTTTGGTGTCCAACTCCAGAGCTAGAAAAAAAAAAAAGGAAAATTTTAGATAGTTTCATCAATGTTCTGAGCCAGAATTATGAACTGCTTAATAATAACACATCTAATATACTTTATATATTGGATTTTTTTTATTTTCATTAGTCAATTGTGCCAACTGTAAATTTACACTCGCCAGCCACTTTATTAGGTACACCTTACTAATACTGGGTTGTCCCCACTTTTGCCTTCAGAATGGCCTTAATCCTTTGTGGCATAGATTCAACAAGGTATAGGAAATATTCCTCAGAGATTTTGGTCCATATTGACATGATATCATTATGCAGTTGCAGCAGATTTATTGGCTGCACATCCATGATGCAAATCTCCTGCTCCACCACATCCCAAAGGTGCTCTATTGGATTGAGTTCTGGTGACTGTGGAGGGCATTTGAGTACAGGGAACTCATTGTCATAAGAAACCAGTCTGAGATTATTTGTGCTTTATAATATGGCATGTTGTCTGGCTGGAAATAGCCAACAGAAGATGAGTACTCTGTGGTCATAAAGGGATGGACATGGTCAGCAACAACACTCAGGCAACTGAACTGAACTTAAACACTAAAAACTGAACTACACTGTTCCAGTTACTATGAGCATTTATGTGAAGCTGCTTTGACACAATCTACATTGTAAAAGCGCTATACAAATAAAGCTGAATTAAATTGAATAGGCTATGGTGTGGCTCTATGATCATTTGGGGCCCAAAGTGTGCCAAGAAAATGTCTAATGGGCCTAAAGGTGTGCCACACCATTACACCACCACCACCTGCCTGAATCATTGATACAAGGCAGGATGAATCCATGCTTTCCTGTTGTTGACACCAAATTCTGACCCTACCACCCAAATGTTGCAGCAGAAATCGACACTCCTCAGACCAGGCAACGTTTTTCTAATCTTCCATTTTCCAATTTTGGTGAGCCTGTGCGAATTGTAGCCTCAGTTTCCTGTTCTTAGCTGACAGGAGTGGCACCCGTCTTCTGCTACTGTAGCCCATCCGCCTCAAGGTTGGACGTGTTGTGCATTCAGAGATGCTCTTCTGCATACCTTGTTTGTAACCAGTGGTTATTTGAGTTACTGTTGCCTTTCTATCAGCTGAACCAGTCTGGCCATTCTCCTCTGACATCAACAACGCATTTGGCCCACAGAACTGCCGCTCACTGGATATTTTCTCTTTATCGGACCATTCTCTGTATACCCTAGAGATGGTTGTGCCTGAAAATCCCAGTAGATCAGCAGTTTCTGAAATACTCAGACCAGCCCGTCTGGCACTAACTATGTGATGTTCAAAGTAATTTAAATCCCCTTTCTTCCCGATTCTGACGCTCGGTTTGAACTGCAGCAGATTGTCTTAACCATGTCTATATGCCCAAATGCATTGAGCTGCTGCCATGTGATTGGGTGATAAGAAATAAGAAAGAGCAGTCAGACAGGCATACCTAATTAAGTGGCCGGTAAGTGTATATTTAGCTTTGTCCAAGTCTATTTACGTTTCACTATTTCCAGCGTGAAGTAGATGCAATTTCAGGCACATATTTCAGTAAATCAACATCAAAACAGTATATTTGACCATCATCCATTACTACCACATCTACCATCCACCTCTTATAAATAATTGGTAGCTTCTTGTAAATTTTTGATCTTACATAAACTTATAAACTTTTATTTTTCATCAAATTTTTCATCAAATATCATTGTATACTGACAGTATATTTGACCACTGCCCATGACTATTTTCAAGTTCTATTTTATTCCACCGATGCATGATATGTTTGTTTTGGTTATGAAGAACTAACTCATGCCTCTAGACCAGTGACCTCAAACTCAATTCCTGGAGGGCCGCAGCTCTGCATAGTTTAGCTCCAACCACCTCCAACTCACACCTGCTTAATAGTGTCTAGTAGCCTTGAACACCTTCAATAGTTGGATCAGCTGTGTTCAGGTGATTAGGATTGAAGCAAAACTGTGCAGAGCTGCCCTCCAGGAATCCAGTTTGAGACCTATGCTCTAGACTGAACATGTTTTATTTGCACTTTGACATCTGGATTATACAAATTGGAAATATTTTTCGTTTAAATTAAGGTGATATTAATATAATTTTTAAATATTAGTTTGTTTTCAGGCCCCACATGCTTTTGTCATGTAAACTAATGTCCAAACTGCATGAAAAAACAAAGCAAAACTGATAATGTACATTCAGCAGTTCAATCCTGATGCAACATTCTCTCTTATATAATCTATATTTCACTCATCACCCAGTTAATCTTACCCTGATCTGGCATTTTCAGCAGTAGATCAAGCAACGGCTTTACCACTCCTTCCTTGGAGACGTGGATCTTCCAGAATAAAGTCATAGAGATCCTGAGAAACACATTTCAACCATGTAATCTGGAGATTTCTTGACTCTATAACGTGATTCAAGTAATAAACTGCAGTTTCTATTCGATTTTCTCAGCTGATGGAACCTACCCTGGAAGTTGAGGACTTCGTATAATCATGATCTCTGATCTGCATCCCTCTGGAAGGTTGACCACGTCTGGGTACTTCTCCTGCCAAGCAAAAACCACCCGTGTGTTAAATAAATTAACAAAAGAGTCTTGACAGATTCCATCGGACCCACAGCAACTTGGATCCAAAACACTGGCTGATACCGAAACGAAATATGTGGAGTAATTTACATATTAAAAGATTACGTAATGGAATTGCAGCATTTGCTCCAAAACAAGGAGGGTAAACAGCCTAAAACCAAGTCTATCACTAACCAGAGCTGAACATTAAAGACAAATGTTGATGTCTTAGAGAAATTGCCTGCTCAAAAATGTTTTTTTTTTTTTTTTTTTTTTTACACCAAATCATTTTGCCTAGCATACACAAGGCTTTTCAAGGGGGGGTTTAAAATAAGAAAAAAAAATCACAGTTTTTGTTTTATTGCACAGCCCTAATGAACACCAGGGCCTTCAGGCTCCAAAACACTAAACAAAAATATATAAATGTAAAAAACTGGTCCGTGCAATTCAAGTGCTGAGATCATTTCAACTTTTTTTTGGTTAACTGAAGCTTTAAAAATAACCCAGGCTCATTAAGTCGAACCATGCCACAATCTAGGTTTCTGCAAATTGTAAAATACATTGCTCTGAGAATGCTTCATTGGACATTTCAGATGACAAATCCACTGTCTACATGTTTTTGCAAATCTGAAATATGTTCTTAGGATACATTTTGATATATACGTGTCAGATAAACATTGTTCTTGTGCAAGTTTATGAGACAGTGGGACTTGTCGTAGAGATTTCCAAGCGAACTACTGACCTAAACCCAACCAATAGTGTTGTAAGCAAATGTAAGAATCACAGTCATTTAGTTTTACATTGATTTTACATTGCTTTAATCTGTTTTATGGAACTGTGCAAACTCGAACCTACGCCCTCTGCATCACAAGTGAGCTACTGCAGTGACCATGCCAAAAAGCTTAAGGGATAGGAGAGGGGAATGTACTTGATTACAATCCTAGACATCATTAAGCTGTTTTAATTTATTTGCTGTTGTGCAAAGGACTGTACAAAAATAATCCTTTATTCACTGATAACACGTCCATGTAAACATCATTAGTGTGAAAAGAAACAAAAGTTGCAGGCGTCATGCTCATAAATGTAAGCTGAAGTATGCATTTCTAGTTAGCTGATTATACTGGCAAAGTTTCATAGGTATACAGGTTTGAAGTTATATAAAAAGTCTTGCTTTTACATGAAATACCCAATTGATATTCCAAGTGAGAGTAGCACGGTGCCACAGTGGGTAGCTGGCATTTCTGTGTGGAGTTTGCATGTTCTCCCGGTGTTGGCGTGGATTTCCTCCGGGTGCGTTTCCCCCACAGTCCAAAGACATGCGCAATAGGTGAATTGAATAAACTAAATTGTCCATAGTATATGTGTGTGAAAGAATGAGTATGGGTGTTTCCCAGTGTTGGGTTGCGGCTGGAAGGGCATCCGCTGTGTAAAACATATGCTGGATAAGTTGTTGGTTCACTCCGTTGTGGATAACCCTGATTAATAAAGGGTCTAAGCCGAAAAGAAAATGAATGAATGAATATTTTAAGTGAGTTTAAGAAATGCCTTCAGGACATTGAACCACAGAAGAGAAAATTGAATACACAGAACCATTTATTGCTGACAGTAAATAATAAAGTATATGAAGAAAGATGTTTCCAGCTCTCTGTCCTTTGCAGAAACCACTAAATACAAAGTTTGAAATTATAGCCTTACTTGCCCTAACACTTAATTCCGTATTAAAAGACATACAGAAGCTCTGTATATTTTTATAAGTAATTAGGACATCTAATTAAGCAGCTCTTAAATTTAACTCCTCATTTGTCTGCATTTTAGCCGGATGATTAAAAACACATGCTAATTTGCACATTCACAAGCAGTCCTACGTGAGCGTTATAAACCCCTTAGATAAATCCATCAGACTTTCCTATTAGACATCAAAAACTTTCCAGATTTTTTTCCCCTCAATTCCCACAATACACAGTTGGGAAATACTGTCAGTTCCACCATTAACTTGATGTTTCCTCTGGTAAACAATGAGACTTTCTCGAACAAGAATTGTGAGGTTGTGATGTTCCTTTCAGACTTCTGAAGAGACTAAACACAGTTGCGATCTCAGAGAGACACATTTACATTTTTGCAGATGTTTAGTTTTCAGTAAAGAGAATAACGGTGCTATAAATAAACGCCGTTACTAATGGTGATACTTTTTTCAGTATCAAGTAATCAATTGAATTACTGTTTCCCTGATTACAAAGCAGGTAACGCAATCATTTCCCTGGTAATTAGTTACTTTTATAATTATGTAACTCAGTTAAAAACTGAGTTACTATTTAAGAGAGATGACTAGTAACTTTAACTAACTACAATTTTAAAGGAACGTGCCTAACACTGTTAGTTTTACCCGTACACGCTAATTAAAGTTAAAGTTAAGTAATTAGTATTAAGGCCCAATCCCATTTCTATTTTTGTACCCCTACCCCTTTTGAAGCCCTCTGTTTCTTTAACACTCTGTTTCAAGGGCCAAGGGGTAGAGGAAGGGCTTAAAAATTGACCCTTTTGAAATGGGACACCACTACATCACCTGCACATGTCATCATATTTCATTGCGATCTCTTGCTTCATATGAGATCGATGATCTCAGCTGTAGTTCAATATAATGAGGCAATAAGATCGTAACTGTACTGTGCATTTACACCGTGGCCCTATTCATTTATAAATGCACAAAAACAACACTAACATTACACTAACATTATAACAGCGAAATTTTGCAGTTTTAGAGGTTTATTTAAAAACCATTATGGTAAAACCCGAATGTGGTTATAATTGTATTAAAACGTGCTTGTTTGTTGTAAAAATTTGTAATAATGACAAAAAAATACTAATTTGTACATCTCCTGACTTCCGTGTGCAGCTATGCTGTCGATGTAGCTGGTGTATTCTGGGAAATTTTCAAACCCCTTGGTTTCAAGTGTGGTCCTGAAAAATCTATTTCAAGGGCTATCTAGCCATTCCTCTTAGCCCTACGTCTTCAAGCTATAGAGAATTGAGACACCCCTACCCCTTCATGTGAACGTGCAAAATGAGAGGGGTATGGGGAAGGGCTAAGTGGTAGAATTGGGATTAGGCCTAAGTAAAATTGTTCAACAATGTAGTTATAGATTTGCACAGAACATTAAAGAGATGAAATATGATATTAATAATGAAAATGATGTCAGTAATTACTTGCCCTTATGTTGTTCCAAACCCCAGAGACCTTTATTGGTCTTGGGAACACAAATGAAGGTATTTTAAAATTAACAGTAAGAGTCCAAAGATGGTCACAGTCCAAAATGGTACCAAAAAGCATCCTCAAAACAGACTGTATGTCTCTTTATTTTTGTGTGTGCAAAAAAGTGTTTTGTGTGTGCAAAAAAAAAGTATTTTCATAGCTTGATATTATTCTGAGTAAATCCTCTGTATTTGATCTTTTTTTGGTATCATTCTGGACTTTGGATGAGCTAGGATGACAAGAAATATCTAAAAAATTCTAACATGTTTCGGGGGTTTGGAACAACATAAAGGCAATTATTGATATTGTTTTGGGTGAAATATCGCTTTAAAATTATGCATATTTATGTACACTATCAGAAATAAAGGCACACAATGTCAATGGGGTGGTATTTTTTAAAAGGTACATTTTTTGTTCCTAACAGGTCCTTAAAGGAATATAATAACACCCAAAAATTACAAATGTGTACCTCATAGTACCGAAAACCGGGTTCCCAATTCCAACAGGGGAGTCCTGGCCCACAAGGGGGACTCAGCGAGCTTTGTGGGAGGTCGTGTCATATTTTAAAAATTTCTTAGCAGTGGACAATTAGGAGAATGATCATGTTGCCCTGGTTTATTTTATTACCTACAACAGTATTCCTTACACACCGGTCCATGGATCAATTGGTACCGGGCTGCACAAGAAATCATTAATTATTTCCGTTTTATTTTTTATCCGAGTCTGAACGAGCTTTCATTTTGAAAAGTCTTTTATTTTGAAAAATGACCGTACTCTCTAGGTTACATCTTGGTGAGTAAGAAACAGACGTCTTTGGAAAGTTTCTTTACTAAGGGGAAAAGACCTAGTAAATGACCCACCATCAGCCAAGATATGGATTCGCAACCCATTTGTCAACAAATCAGGTGAATCCAGCATGGCTGTGGAAGAAGATCAACTGCTGGAGATCGCAAATGACGGCGGCCTTTTAGGCTTTTTATCACTGCAAACTTATATGAGCCATAATATCATTAAATGTGGAGAGGGGCCTTACAATATTTTTCCGGGGAATAGCGGGTCTCAGGCAAAAAAAAAAAAAAAAAAGGTTGCGAACCACTGCCTTAAAAGGAACAAAGATGTAATCTAAAGGTACTATTGTTCACCTGTATGGTACAAAGATGTAAATTTTGAAAAGGTATGGCTCTATTGACACATTTTGTACCTTTATTTCTGATTGTGTACTTCTTTTACATCTTACAATAACTGTTTTGAATCTATTTGGCAAGCTAACATATAATCATAGCATAAATGTTTTTAATACATCATGAAGCAATTTCTAGCTTGTTGTTAAGCTAAATGGTCAACAATTATTTAAAAGGCACGGCTGTTTTCAGTAAACGTGACACAGCTCTGACCAAAGGCTTCGAGCCTTCCTTGAACTAAGCCATTAATTTAGCATCCTTCACGCAACCCAATCATTATTTGAACTCTATACCTCTATTGTCTGATCCTGGAACGACATGTTATGCTCCCCACGGATCCCTGTCAACAGTTATTAAAACGCCAGACAGAACAACCAGAGTCTCTGGGCTTGTTCAGAAGCCAACAGTGTCTGAATATTTCGGAAAACTTTTCATAAAACTGGCTTCACTCTGAGACTTCAAAAGTACAATTTCAGAAATACTGGAGTTAAATGTTTGATCCAGGTTGCATTATTTACTTCACGCCAAAAGTTAACAGTGGATGACCCAAA